GAATGTTATATCGTAAACATGTTTTTCTGCGTGCAGGCTATCCTTATATCCGGCTCAAATGATAATATGACTTTCAAGCTATTCCAGAGGTGAGGTGTCATAAATAAATTACAATATCCAAAATACTACATACTGTATATGATTAGATCTTAATTACATTGCATTTCTATATTGGAATTCAATTAAAATGGCTGCATATAATAGCGACCGAAACGATTGGTTCAACTCTTTGATCAAAGCTTAATATAGAAAAATGTTGTGTAATTTCATTCACAAATAACAAGAACAAGTTTGGTTACAATTGTGTAATTAGGAATTCCCGTTTGAAGCGAGAGACATCGGTCAAAGATCTGGGTATTGAACTTGACGGCTTTTTGAAATTTTCCAATCATATCAATATTATGGTTAAAAAAATGAACGGGTACAAAAGAAATTTATCCAATTTTTATCTTTTAAATCTAATAAGCATTTTTTAACTTCAAAATATAATGAGCATTGTAATTTTGTTAGCCTTTCCCCTCTATGGGTTAGGGGAAAGGTTGCTGACCTATGTTTTTTACATAAATGTGTTCATTCGAATATTGATTGTGCTCATTTGACCAGTGCAGTACCTTTTTATGTGCAGCGCGTTTTGAGGCATACAACCCTTTTTTCCATTCCCTATTCAAGAATTAATATAAGGAAATATTCTTTTTTCGCGAGTCCTATCGCTTTTTAATGACATTATTAATGACTTCAGTTTTTTTTGCAGATCCTGTAATTGTGAATTTTCTCCTGTAGGTCATCCGATTGAATAAATAAAATAAATAAAATAAATAAATAAATAAAAATAAATAAATAAACTCTGAAGACCATCTGCCAAAATACCGCCGTCTTTTCGGAACTCGTTTATAACCACTGCCACTATTTTTTTCATTCGTATGGGGTAATGTGATAGACTCAGTCAAGAAATTCAAGTTTTGAATTATGTATAATATATTTTAAATTCTAAAATATATTTCGGATGGAAGTAAGCGTGAGTAACTTGTGTTTTATTTTAGTTATTGAAGATAAGATTATATTGTAGGCAAAAGACAAATGTGTCTGTCAAAAATATTCTAAAAGTAAGGTCTCATATACACTATATGCAAAATTCTGCATATCTTTATAATGATATCAATGTTAATTTTGTTTATTTTAAATGTAGATACAACTGTGAAGATAAATATGTGATCTACTAGAAGTAATTATTTCTAGTTGAAAATCATCTGAGGTTACGCATTTCCAGGATTGCATTATATTTCGGTGTTGCGGATATCTCTACTGATATGGTTACTTTTTGCACACAAATTCTCTGAATGTCATATTTGCAAGATGCAAGCTCGTAACAACATAGTGTGGATAAGATTTAATAAAGTGTTCATAATAATATCCTTTATACGTTTTAATTATTTTTATATTGGTAACTCTCGTGGTTTGTATATTGGATTTAAGTTACGCAACTACAATTGAAATTAGATTGATATCAATTTGACTTCTCTAGCATATCATACATAGTCGGTTAAAATATTATAAAATAAAAGAAGACCTTAACAAATTTGGTAAGTCTGGTACAAAAGAAAATAAGATAGTCAAATAGACAGATTCGCAAAGTGGGTTTGCTAGCTAGACAGCTTTATTAATTATTCGTTGTATGAAGAGTTTCAATCAGCGTATCGGACCGCACATAGCACTGAAACGGCTCTTTTGCGGGTCGCTAACGATGTACTATGCAGTATTGATAATTCTAAGAATTCAGTTGCTCTCGTACTTTTGGATCTTTCAGCCGCTTTTGATACTGTGAATCACAGGATTCTCATCGATAGGTTGAGATCAAATTTTGGTTTAAATGGTCTCATCATCAAATGGTTTGAGTCGTATTTGAGTAACCGCATTCAAAAAGTGAAAATTGGAAATGTATTTTCTGATATGACGTCTATATTAGAAACCGGTGTTCCACAGGGCTCCGTCTTAGGGCCATTATTGTTCTCAATGTACATGCGTCCATTGGGCGAGTTATTGCGACGTCACGGCGTAAAATATCATTTTTACGCCGATGACACACAGATTTATTTATCGGTTTCTGAAGATGATCAAATTCGCGCCCGGGTGATACTTCAGACATGTATTCAAGACGTTAGCGATTGGATGTCTTGTAATTTCCTACTTTTGAATGTGTCGAAAACTGAATTTGTGTGCATGTCGTCTCGGAGATTCTCACAA